GCACCCACACTCAAAGTATGCATTCATCTTTGACCTATGATGCTTAATTTGCCTCTTTATCTAAATAAATCACTAAGTCCTATAGATTCTCCTCTGTCTCTTGTCTCCTTTAATTCCTTTAATGTCTTCCATCCTCATCCTCCTATGTCTTATTTACAGTAATAGCATTTTAGGTGGACTTCCTGACTCCAGCTGATAGCAGCTCATAGCCTAGATTCAAATTCTGTTCCTTAATTATACTATGCTACTTCCTATTGCTCTGGGTACATGCTGTGCTCATTTTCAATATTGCCTTCTCAGCTTACCCAGATAACATCTTCATTTCAAGATCAACTCAAATTTTCCCTCTTACAGGCATTTGATAACTATTTTAGGGGTCCCTATCATTCTCTTTCTGTATCATTGCCCTTAGATAGTATAGCATACGATATAGCACTTAAGTATCATCTGTGAACTTTTAAGAATAAAGCACTATTTCTTACTTAAATCTCAGTAGATACAGATCCTAGAAGTGTGCCTATCATATAGGAAGGGCTCAGTAAGTGTTTGCTGATTTAATTAATTAAGCAATGTATATAGTTGATGTTCTGCTAATTACAGGTAAAATTGGTTGATACTATGGATTTTTTTTAATGCTATGTATGCTTGGGGTCTCCAGTAAGTCATGACAGTGCTTAAAAGTATTGAGGTTAAGTTTATGGGTTGTGGATGGAAATCTATCTTATTTCTTTAGAGTCACACTTCACATTTATTATTTATAAAAGAATTTTTATAGGTCTATGACAAGCAGATCAGAGAGCTAAGTAATTAATCATTTGAAAGTTGATTGTTCAGAGGATATGTTTATAACAAATTTAGTTAATTATTAAATTCAAAAATAAAACTTTGAAAGCTTATGAAATGAATCAAGAGACGTCAGCCTACTTTCACCTAACATAATTTCATATTTCAGCCTTTACAATTTAATTCATGGCGAAGACCGCCAAGCATTTTATGGAGAATCATGTCATTAGAGTGGTCTGTATGCAATGATTTTTAAAGGTTTTCATTTTTCTTCTCTTTCTCTAGGTTTGGCCAGAGCTGCCCGATGTAATTGTGGATGGATCCCTTGACCATGAAACTCAGGTTAAGGTACAGTTGTTCATAGACTTTTTTGTCAACATTGCCCTAAACATCTGGATATTTATGTGTTTTATCCAGGTGGATAAGTAGCTTACCCTTTAGTTAAGTAGCTCTAACTTGAATATGCTTGTCTGCTGGTAGATTTTTGGCAGAAAGGGATCCCCAAATAGAAAACTCAACAAACAGCTAAAACGGAAATATATAAATCATCAAGGAAATCCCCTCACATGTGTGCTTTTAATGGGCTGTGATTTGTTTGATTCTAATGTTGTTTGAAAAATAATGAACCAAAGTCCAGAATATTTTCAGTAGAGGGGTATCCATTATGAACAGACTGGACTTTAATAAATTACCTACACACAAAGAAAATGCAGGTTAGTTGGTGGGAGGAATAGCCTTAATCTCAGCCTGGGCACCTACATCCCCTCCACTCTGGAGCTCACCTGTCCCTGGATGATGGGTCCTCCTTCATTTCATTGGGCCAGTCTAGAGAAAGCATTGGCATCTCTAAAGTTCAATTGTTTAGACACTGACTGTTAATTTTCCAGTTCCCTTGATGACTAAATGTCTAGTCATAAAATAAATCCTTATTTAAAAGAGACTTTAAAGCTAGCTAACGTTCTTCTAAGAAAATAGAGAATGGAACCAGCCTTGCCCAATCTCTGTGTCCACTGTAAACTCAGTGCAGCTGCCGCAGATCTGAGGTGCGATCAGAGACTAGGCTGGGCAGGCACAAATCCCTGCTCATCTCCCCTTTCTGGTGCCAACTCCCCTTCCTGGATGGGCGGAGACCCCACCATGAGAGCATGTGTTACTCTTGCAGCTGTACAGGGCCTACGTTGCTTTCCCTGACTTCTTGAGTAGTAGCACAGCTGCATGGTGGAAGACAGAGATACAAGAGCTCTACGTAAACCCTCGAGAGCCAGAGAAGAGCTTGAAGTTTGATGGATTGTGGATTGTAAGTGCAACCTTGATTGTTTTTCTTTGGAAAGGTCAGCAGTCAAAACACGGGGAGGCCATTGAGTGACTAGCAAAGCAGGGTGATAAACCTGGAGGGATGAAAGGGAGCAATGTCATTAGAGAATCTAGGTGCTGGGAGAAGTGGAGATTATTGCTGGTCTGCCCGGGGTCGTACTGCCTGGTAGAAGCTGGAGCTTGTGGAGGCTGGAGGTGTCAGAGCAAGAGGGAAAGGGAGAAATATTCTGGCTTATCTTATCTCCCACCCTATCTCTTGCCAGTGCCTCCCATTGGCTAGATAGACCTGGAAGCCACAGATAAGGGGGCCTGAGACCTCTCCTGTGGCACAGGGCAGGACTGGGGTGGGTGAGGCGTGAAGCTGAGAGTGAGTAGACACCACGGTGCTGGTGCAGACTGCTCTGAGGGAATGACTTAAAAGGCCTGTTCAGATGTTTGTCATACTCATCTTTTGGCCGTAACAGCAGGGCTTCCTGAGATGTCTCTGGGACATGTATTCAAGGGCTCCTCTATTTATGTTTTTTTCTAGGGATGGGAAAAAAAAATCAGTGTCCTGATTTCCTTTCTCACTGTCTAGTGGTCTGAAGTCTTAAGCAAGCTCTGGGCCAGCTTTGAAGAGCTGCTCAGGTCTGGGCCAGGCTGGAAGAAGCCTGTGATTTACCCAGAGACAAACCTATCAGCCCACTGGCGGCCCCTGGCCACTCGCACTTTCCGGATAGATAGGCACAGAGTAGACGTATGAAAGGACATAAATTAACCCAAACACACAAATCAGACAGTTCAAAGATGTGGGTAGAGTTGAAGAGTGACATATACTGATAGCTCTGGGATATTTTTCCCAATGGAGGGAAAGCTGTAGCTAGGTGATTCAAAATAATGAATAGTTCTGGAAATGCTTGCCTTTGCCTTTAATCTGTCCTATTTAACATAGGCTAACATACAAAATTTTAACTTTTTTATTGATAAAGTAGGCAATGAATATTCTATCAGAAGCCCTTACTTCTTGCATTTCAGTAATAAATTCCCCAAAGCACGATTTTTTTTCCAGGCTTGTTTCTGAGTTATGTACAACTTTTCAGAAACACATCTATGGCAGAAAGTGAGATACTTCTCCTTGTGTTTAGTCTCTGCTGATATCGGAATTAGTCCCAGCTGTTGGACTAAGGAACGTAGGGGAAGATAATAGTAACCACTGCTGCAGATGAAAAGTGAATAATTCATGCCTAGAAAAACAAAGATGGGCTTCTTGTGTGGGGGAGATGTATCAAGAGATTTCCTTAGGTCCTGCATCCAGCATTATCTCAATATCTTTGCTGCTGTAAAACAATCCTCACAAATTTAAAAATGCCAAATAAGTTAGAAGGAATGTAACACTCCACTTAAGCCAACACAAATTCTTAGAGTCTGTTTTGATCAATGCCAGGAATTAAACAGAGTAAATTATGCCACCAGCTGAGGTGAGGTTTCAATACATCACAGTCATCTCCCTGAGTTTAGTGTCCTCTGTAGCAAAGACTATACTGCCCCTGACATGACGGAATCTTTTTTTACTAACTCATTTCAGGATATGAACGAGCCATCGAACTTTGTGGATGGATCTGTCCGGGGCTGCAGTGATGAAATTCTTAATAACCCACCCTATATGCCATGTATGTAAAATGGTTACTTTATCAAATTATTTCCCTGCTCAAAGACCCTGAAAGTTTTCCTCTTACTATTTAAGTGAAGCCCAATTTTGGAGACAGAACACACTCTCAAACATGACATAAAATCCCAAATAGAATAACCTTGAATAAATGCAGATAAATAAATTACTAATCAAGCTCAGCAATAATGACATGATGCGGTATGAAAGAAACTAAACAATGCATGGTGTATTTGATTACATTGATAGCTATGAACTGATTGCATTTTAAATAAACCTCTACATACACAGAAAGAGAGAGAGAGAGAGAGAGAGAGAGAGAGAGATTCTTTTTTCATTCTGATTAGAGAATGAAAATCTAGTTCCTGAACCCTCTCTGCCCATGTTCATAGATACTTCATCACTTCATGAAGGATGCTCCTTGGTTATACTGTGGTGCAAACAGAATTAGGATGCTGGGATCAAAGGGATATGAGAAAGTTGAATTTTCTCATCTTACAGAAGACCAAGGAAGGAAGTGACTCAGTTCCTAAAAGCAATGTACCAGTAATTTGTGGGACAGAATCTAGAATCCAAGTTTTTCAATGTCTGTGTCACTGCTACATTGCTTATCGCTCACTAAATCATTTATTCATTCATTATGTTCTCCTTCCTCCCATAATTTAATACAGATGGTCCCCAACTTACAATGGTCTGACTTAGGACTTTTCAGTTTTACAATGGTGTAAAAGTGATATACATTCAGTAGAGACTGTACTTCAAATACCCATACAATCATTCTATTTTTCACTTTTACTATAGTGTTCAAAAAGTTACATGAAATATTCAACACTTTATTATAAAATAGGCTTTGTGTTAGATGATTTTGCCCAACTGTGGGCTAATGTAAGTGTTCTGAGAACATTTAAAGTAGGCTATGTATATCTAATTCATTTTCAACTTGCGACAGTTTCAACTTACGATGGGTTTATTGGGATATAACCCCATTATAAATTGTGAAGCATCTGTATTTATGTGTCAGGCAATTGCTGACAAATCAGAAAGATTTAGAGACAGTAATACAAAATTGGGTGAAACAAGATTTATTCCCTTGAGAATATTACCATCTAGTGGAAGAAACACTCCTAACAATGAAGGAGTTTATTATGTTGACAAGTGGACTATGCCAGCACTCTAGCAATTAAGTCAGGTGACAGCAAAAAGAAGAGAGCTGCTTTTTCCAGCTCCATACTCTGTCCTTGCCCTGTATTAATTATAAAGCCACAGGATGTTGATTTTGTAGACTAAAAATTGGACCTATTACTAGTAGCAAAATTGTTGATTAAAATGGAGAAATAACAAAATGATGGACACTGACATTGCTAGTGAATGTGCACATCATGTTGTTTAGGAAACAACTCAACATTTCCCCACAGATCTGGAGTCCAGAGACAAGGGCCTGAGCAGCAAGACCCTGTGCATGGAGAGCCAGCAGATCCTGCCAGACGGCTCCCCGGTGCGGCACTACGACGTGCACAGCCTGTACGGGTGGTCCCAGACCAGACCCACATACGAGTGAGTATGTTTTCGCCACTGGCAGCAAGGATAATTTTCCACGTTATTACTTTTGTCTCTCTGTATTTGCATTGTGCATGTGTCTACACGATACCAGTTAAATGGATGAATGTCAAAATATCAGGCACGGTTGCCCAAGCAACCACAACACCTCGGAGTGCCTCTATCAAGTAGGTCGCTAAATTCACGTATCTACGGTGAGCAGTTAGGTGGTGTTTAGTATATTCAGAGTTGTGCAGCCATCACTAAAATAAAATTTTGGAACATTTTCAGTGCACCCAAAGGAAAACCTTTACCCACTATCAGTCATTCCCACCTCGCACCTACCCCCTGAGCCCCAGCCATCACTGCTTTCTGTCTATGTGGATTGTCTTTCCTCGACATCTCATATGAATGGAATCGCGTACTACGTGGTCTTTTGTGTCTGGCTTCTTTCACTTGACGTAATGTTTTCAAGGTTTGTCTATATTGTAGCATATATTGGTACTTCATTTCTTTTTACTAGTGGATAATATTCCATTGTGGACACACACACAAACACACTACATTTTGTTTATTCATCCATCAGTTAGTGAACATTTAGTCTGTTTCCGTGTTTTGGCTATTGTGAATAGTAATGCTATGAACAATGATGTGCAGGATTTTGAGAGGATGTGTGTTTCCCTTTTCTCGGATATATATCCAGGAGTGGAACTTCTGAGCCATATAGCAACTGTATGTTTAATATTTTGAAGAAATGTCGAACTGTTTTCTAAAGAGGCTGTCCATTTTACATTCCCACCAGCAATGTATGAAGGCTACAATTCCTCTACGTCCTTGCCAACACTTGGTGGTGTTCATCTTTTTCATTCTAGACATTCTAATGGGTATGAAATAATATCTAATTGTTGTTTTGACTTTATTTCCCTAATAACTAATGCCGTTGAGCCTCATTTCGTATGCTTACTGGCCATTTGTGTATCTTCTATGCAGAAAAGTCTATTCAAATCCTTTACTCATTTTTGATAGAGCTATTTATCTTTTCATTATTAAGTTGTAAGAATTCTTTATACATTCTGAACATGAGTCCCTTGTGATATATTTGGTTTGCAAATATTTTCTCTTATTCTGTAGATTCTCTTTTCATTTTCATGATGCCTTTTGAAGCGTAATTACTTTTTAATTTTTGTGAGGTCCTATTTATTTATTTACTTATTTAAGTTTCCAGCCAAGCTCTCATTTGCCCCAATTAAAACCACGGCCTTAGCATCTTTGATGTTGCCAGCACATTGCCATTATTTTGGTAGTTCCCTGGAGGTGGAGATTTTTTGTTTTCTTTCTCTCTGTTGAGTTGAGCTCTGAGTCAAATCCAATGGCCAAACACCCTGGAAATGGAGATTTTCTAGGGAACTGGAAGTTAAACACAATGTTTATTGTGTTCTGGGGATGGTGCTTTTAACAGAGCTCCAAAGAGGTTAGATCTCTCAGTTTGCTGCAAGGCTGCTGGCTTTGGTTACTGTGATGCTGAGCTGGAGATGGGGAAGGTTGGACCAGACCCAAGTTAAAATGCCATAGACCTCACCATTTTGCCACAATTTAGTAGTTTCTCTTGGATAGATGACTCTCAATTCTTTCTACAGCTGGTTAATTTCTAGAGTTCTAAAATGGTTATTTGTTTTGCTCATATTTTCATCATTTTAATAGGAGAGCAAGTTCATAGATGTCTTCATTCTACCATTCCAAAAGTTTCCACAGTTCTGATTTGAGCATAATTATTTATTAGTTTTAAGTTAGATTTTTTTTTTTTTGGACATTCTCTTATAATAAAAAACAAACCAAAATTTTAGGTACCTATTATGGGCAAGCACCTCCTCTGAGCCTAAGTGTGACAGTGGGGATTTGGCTACGATTTTCCAGAGTCTCAAAGAAATTTCAGATTGGTACTTTTAGTTTTCCCCAGGACAGAGTGTGATCCCTTTTCATGTGCCCGTTTCTGCTCAGAGTGTCTGAGCTTTCTGCCTTCTGTTCCCAGGACTTGTCAGAGTCCCAGACTGTCTGATTTTGGGTTATCCACAGGTGATGGGGCAAGGTGGTGTTCCATGCTCAGGCACAACACGATCTTCCTTGCTCTTCTTAACAAGGAAGAAGAAAAGCTGCTTCTCTTCCCCACTTTGTTTACATCTTCATCTCTCGGTTGCTCTTTCTCAGTTCTGCTTGCTTCATCCAGCCCGAGGCTTTTCTGACCAGGCGAAACTGGTTCCTCAAGGAAACATCCCTGTCTATGTACTCAATACACACATGTTTTATAGCCTCAGACATAACCTTACCTCCGAAGTATTGGAACATGAATAAGTCACTGTCCCTGCTCTCAGGACCTCATTGTCTGTTAAGAATCAGAGAGAAGGAAAAGCAACTAACTCTGCTGGGATAATCCAGAAAGACTTCCTAAAAGTGGCATTGGAATGTTTCTTAAAAGAAGAGGAGACATTTTCTCTTGGCAGAGGAAGGGCTTGCAGGGCAAAGAAAGCAGCCTGGAGAAGACATGAAAACTTGGCAGAGTTTCTGTCTAAACCTCACCCTTCCCTCATGCCGCCCCCTCCTCCCTCTGCAGGGAACCTCACCTTTCACACATCCAGTGCCCACTTTGCTCTTCAGGGAACCTTCTCCGCAGACGATCCTGTGCCACGGGTGCTTACTGCCTCATGAATTGTCTTTATCTTCATCCCTTCTGCTGGTATTTTGGCTTAGAATTTAGGCTATGAAACTTGATGGATGCTCCATAACTCATTAGTGCCACTTACTAGCTGATCTTTCTCGTCTTTCAGACTGGGAAAATCGTAGCACTTACTATTGTCATAGAAATTAAATGATGTCCTGAACCCACAAGTACTTGGCATATTGTAAGCACTCAATAAATGTCAGAATTTTTTTTCTTATTTCTTTTCATCAACATTTAAAAATGTTCTGGTCTTTCCAACTTTGACCTATAGCCTCTAACTGTCATTTAATTTCTCTATTTCCCTCATATCCAAGCTGTTTAATTTTTTTACTTCTTATACACCTTTATCGTTCTCACTTTCCCAATCACACATGCTGGTCATTCTGACTTTCACTGGTAATTCTCTCTCCCACCTCTTTCTCTCACCTTCATGCACATAACTAATTAATTAGATTTTTAAAAAATAAAACCCACATTCTAGGTGTAAGTATGTCACTAGCCCTGCTGGGAGGTTCGTTGGGATTCTTAGCATCGCTTCTAGATAGCAGGCTCTTTGTGGGAAGAAGTTCTCTGACTCAGGATGGAGCATCATTGCCACCCCATGCCCCAGGCTGCAGCTACGCTCTATAACAACGTTCCATGGCTGTCCAACCCCCAATTCACCTCCAATTCACCTCCTTGTTTTCCTCCAACCAGAGCTGTGCAGGAGGTGACAGGACAGCGAGGGGTCGTCATCACCCGTTCCACATTCCCCTCTTCTGGCCGCTGGGGAGGACACTGGCTGGGAGACAACACAGCTGCCTGGGACCAGCTGGGGAAATCTATCATTGGTGTGTGGGCACATTCCCGGGGACCTCTGCTGGCAGGGAGGGGACTGGAGTGTGCCCGATTCAGTGGCACTGGTTGTATCTAGATCATCATCTAGGTGGAGAGTAAAATCAATAAGAATTGAGCCCTCTATGGGCATGGATTTTAATTTATACCCATCTTTCAATATTGTTGTCGTGAATGGCCCGGGGCTTTCTGATGGGGTAAGGAAAAGTCAGGCCAGACCTTCCCTCTCCCCCCAAAGTCTTCTTCATCCAACACAGTCATATTTTCTCCTGCAGGCATGATGGAGTTCAGTCTCTTCGGAATACCGTATGTAAGTCATGTCTGGGCCATTACAATTACTCAGTGGGATTTCAGTGTCTGCAACCCACAAAATTCCCATCCCACGCTCTCATTCTGCATCTTCCCAGACAGGAGCAGATATCTGTGGGTTCTCTGGAGATGCTGACTATGAGATGTGTGTTCGCTGGATGCAACTGGGGGCGTTTTATCCATTTTCCAGGAACCACAACAACATCGGGACACGGGTGAGGCGGCAGTTCATGCTGCAGGTGTTCTGTACCCTCAAATCATAACTTCTTTGTAACCCTCAAGAATATCACACTTAATTCTTGAGAAAAATCATAAAAACCACCATATGCTTTATTTCTTGGAAAACCTACAGAGTTCAGAACCCCAGAGTTATCAATAATTTTTAAGAATGTACTTTTCCTTATCTTCTGGGGGATTAGAACCTATGAAGAGAGAAGTTGTTATAGCTCCCCATGGGGCTAAAATAAAAGAAGCTCCATTTACTTTTATATAAGTCTATGTCCATTCAAGATATGTCGAGGCTACCTAGAGACCCACCTCTTTACAGATGTGCAGGATCAAAGCTAGACCTGTTCAGGGGACTGAGGAATCGGTACCAAAGAGGAGAAAGCAGGAAATTCTAGTCTTATAGGGTGGCAGGGGTGGCGAAAAGGACAGGCTGGGAACGAAGGGAGAAGTGGCTTGTTACCTACATATTGAATAAACATCCACTGATCCTTTTCTGATACCACAAGGATGGAGTGAAGAAGAGGTGATCTGTTATATGCTTCTTTATCCCTACAGAGACAGGATCCCGTGGCCTGGAATTCAACCTTTGAGATGTTCTCCAGAAAAGTCCTCCAGACCAGATACACACTGCTGCCCTATCTCTACACTCTGATGCACAAAGCTCACGTGGAGGGCAGCACTGTCGTCCGGCCCCTTCTCCACGAGTGAGTGCAGCCTCTCTTGGAGCAGTAGGTCTGGGCATGTCTTGTAAATAACCTGCTGTAGCAGTCATAAGAGTGTGGGTGAATTTTCCACGTTTATTTCTTAAGGTTTACAGATGACATCACAACATGGGATATAGACCATCAGTTCATGCTGGGCCCTGCCGTCCTAATTAGCCCTGTGCTGGAAAGTGTGAGTTTTTCATCATAGATCAGAAACCCTTCGATCATATAATCTAAAATCACAAGAAAAACATTTTAAAGATCATCTTGTCTTGTCCTGCTTGCTATTTTCAGGCAAGTGCCTTTCTAGAACATCTGAAGGAGATCTTTTTCTTTTTTCTAGATCTCTATTAATGAAAATTTCACAACATTGATTGATATCTCATTTTAGATTTTTGTCGCTTTGTGTACCCTTTTACAACTTACTCTTCTTCTTCTTTTTTTTTTTTTTTTTGCAATAGAGTCTCACTCTGTTTTCCTGGGTAGAGTGCATGGGCATCCTTGTATCTCACTGCAACCTTGAATTCCTGGGCTAAGGTGATCCTCCTGCCTCTGCCTCCTAAGTAGTAGAGACGGGGTCTTGCTCTTGCTCAGGATGGTCTCGAACTACTGAGCTCAAGCGATCCTCCCACCTTGGCATCCCACAGTGCTAGGATTACAGGCATGAGCCATCATGCCTGGCCCTACAATTTACTGTTTTAAAAAATTATTTTTCTGGATATTTGACGAAGAAGTTTCTAGGATTTTTCTTAATAAAATATCTTAAATTCTTGAAATTACTAATAAAATTCCCATTTTTATCTTAATTCTCCAGAAAGTATTTTAAAAATTAAAATTAGGCCATGTGTGGTAGCTCACTCCTGTAATCCTAGCACTTTGGGACACTGAGGTGAGAGGATTGCTTGAGGCCAGGAGTTTGAGACTAGCCTGGCAATGGCCAGACCCCATTTCTACAAAAAAATTTTTAAAAAATTAGCCAGGTGTGATAGAACATACCTGTAGTCCCTCCTACTTGGGAGGCTGAGGCAGGAGGATCACTTGAGCCAAAGAGCTTGTGGTTGCAGTGAGCTAGGGTGACACCACTGTACTCCAGCCTAGACAACAGAGGGAGACCTTGTCTCAGGAAAAAAAAATTAAAATTAAATTATTTCCTTTTTGAAATATTCATAATGACATGTTGATTTTATGTTTCAGAACACTTTTGAGATCCGTGCTTATTTTCCTAGAGCCCGTTGGTATGACTATAGCATGGTAAGAACTAAAATATTTTGTGAACAACCAGGTCAGTCTATGTAGGCTAAAAAGGTGGATAGAGCTTTCTCCTGACTTTCAAGTATATATTTTTTTAAGGCAGTGATTTCCAACCATTTTCATCTTGGCGAGGTTTGTTTAAATGAAAGTATGCATTAAAGCATAAATAGATGAAAATCTGAGCACCTATATTATCTTCAAGCTCTGCCATACCCCACCCCTGCCTGCCTCTCACTTTCTCTGGGGATACAGAGAAAAGACTACGTTTTCAGAGGCTTAAGCAAAAATGAAAAACCAGAGATTTTCTCCTTAGGTTTTCTGGGTTTTGCTAAATTTCTAATATGCTTCCTTGGAAAGGAAGGACTTGTAATAAAACATACTCTCATTTATTCTCTTTATCTGTCATCATTTTTTGCCTATGTCTGTCTTATAGGAATCTGGCAGCAAATCCACAGGTGAGTGGAGAACCCTGGAGACTCCCCTCGACCACATCAACCTTCATATCAGGGGAGGCTACATCCTGCCTTGGCAAGAGCCTGCAATGAACACTCACTTCAGGTAAGGAAAGGTCCTATTAAATAGCCTCACTACACGGTAATGAGGTGGCCTTGCAGGTGGCTGTCCCACCTTTACCAGGGCTATGGGGATAATAAACCAAAGTGCAGACAGGTTTCATTGGTTGGATTCTGTGAGTGCCTTCTGAGTGGGATGTGGAGGAGGGTGAGTTTGTGAATTCAGTCTTGGAGAGATCTTTCATTTGTAATGCTGTGCCAAAGGCAAAAATTTTCCTGGGAGTGGACACGTGTTTCTCTTTCCACACTATTAAAAAAAATTGGGAATATTAATGGACCCTGTGACTTGTGAC